TTAGGTTATCGACCTTATCGGAAGCCGTTATCGCCGAGCAAATAAAACAACCGCTCGCTTGCATTTCACTCGGCAAACCAAGTTCATAAAACATAAAGTTGTAATTCGTATTGTTACCTCCATACAAATTTATAGAACGGACGATCTTGAAGAGAAGCTTTCACAATTTATTTCTAATCCAGTTTCATCTTTCACGTTGTAAGTATCAGTATTTAATTAAAATGTATAGTAAAAATGTACTAAAAGTGTTTCTCCACTTCCTTAATCGAACCCACGTCTTCCGTAATCGCGCTCAGAGCCCACGTCTTCGGTGTTTTAATGATAAATTTCATCTTTAGTGCAGAGATAGGGACTAAAAAACAAAATTGTAAGCTTTGTAAATACAAAGTACAATTTTGAACGAAATCGTTTCAGCCTAAAAACATGTGCAAAGTTGGCAAGCGGGCAGGTAGTTCACCTGATGTTAAGTGATTCAAACTCCCTATGAGCATTTACACCTGGGTCGCAGATGTTGCCAACTTTTGAACGTAGCAAAGAGTTGGTATAAAACAATTGAAGTATCTCGTGATATTTTGTTGAAAGCAGGACCACTTGGTTACCTCACCCATTATTTATAATACTACGGTAACCGTAATACTAATTATTAATTAACGTTATTATTGTATGAAGCCGTGGTATTTTTGTAAACATCAAGAATCATTTGAAAAAACATCTTAACAACAATTTCATTAATGAAAAGTGCTCGGTAGAAACTAAAAAAGTCGTATCTTAATTAGAAATTCAATTCAATTGATTTAGAGTGGTAGATCTTGGGTCTAATCAAGTTCACCACCTCTATTCTAAGATTAAGCATTAGATATCCTTTTACTCCATCAGGTATCAACAGGGTTAGTTTATCGTACCGCTATATCTTGTATTAACTGATGTTTTTGCTTTCAGTCCCGAGACTATTAAAGCTTCATCTGACGCAGCTTCATCTGACGCATCGTACCGCTGTCTGTCTGTCCCTATGTATGCTTAGATCTTTAAAACTACGCAACGGACCTGGGATGCGAGTGATTCAAAAGGAAGGTTTATATGTATTTATTATATACATTCTACCCGTGCGAAGCCGGGACGGGTCGCTAGTATTGTATACAGGAATCGTCCTAAAGGTTCATGACACTCTTAAAGAATCGCTAATTCTAATATCCCACAGGTAGTGATCACTTTCAAATGAGCTATTTACTGATTTACCATCTACTTTCAAATAATTCTTTTGTACTTTTATAACAATGCTATTTAACGATCAATGTACTACGAGGTCAACTGTCAAGATTGATCGAGTATCTATACGTCGGAGTCTACTATCACGTAATGCCATGCGTAAAATTAAAATCTATTGAATGCTTACCTTTTTTGATATAAATAATATTACAAACTTACCTGATGATGAACGCAGATGTTAAGGTAGAGAGGATAACATTAACTCCGACAACGCCTAATTCCTATAACAGTATCACAACCTTCAATCTATTAACCACTTTATTTTTATTATAAAACAATTTATACGGTCAAAGGCGTGCTTGACCATTTTTCATTCCGTACCACCAGTTTACTTCTTTTGATTCTTTGCTTTTGGTCGACGTTCTATATTGACGTTATTGTGTCGTTTTATCACAAACACATTAACATTTAATAGCAGATAGAATTCGCGAGCTAGAGGTACATTCGCCGTCGGCAATCATACAACTAACACGACATCGAGCGTCCACATATCAAGAGCAAATTCCTGTAACATTACTCCAATACTGACAAAGCTTTTTGTACGTAGCATGCTGTTTACATTTGTCGCTACGCTAAATAAACGTTTAGAACCGCGAGGTATCAGTTTGATCCTCGAAGAAGGTATAATGTAAACACTCTACTATTTTATAGGCAATGGGCATGATTTTCAAGAATCACATTATCTACTACGGGATAGACTGGTTATACATATGAGGCCCACTATAACTCCCTCAATGGCTAACACACCTAAGCCACTGCACGTCCCCAGTTTCTATATAGTATATCTGTACTATATAGTATAAAGTATAGATATACTATATATTATTTAGTATGTATAGTATAGATATATAACTCCATGATCCGTTTATGTACTTCATTCCAAAACAGATATATGTATTCGTTGCTGATGTCCACATATCACATTAGGTATATAAGTGTATACGATTATAAGAAGTGCCTTAATAAACTTTTTATAGCAAAAAACTTCTAACCATTTTGGGTAAGGTGTATTACATTGTGCAAGATGGCAACGCACAAAAGTATGTTTAAAAATATCTCATAGTAGACTACATAATATGTTGTATATACATAAACAAGAGAATAAAACACAGCCATTAGACCTTGGTAGCTTTCACGCACTTTTTATACTATTATTTCATTTACCAGTCGTAACCAACCGAATAAATTTGCAAAAATTCGACTCCTGTAAATGTTTTTTGAAAAAAGTTTTCCTGTTCTAGAAATCTAGCTATCTCTAAAAATCCGCATCACAAAAACAATTGCATATAGATAGCGTCACCATTCGAAAAGTTAGCTTGAAATTGGTCATAATTATTTTTAGTCATCGAGTCGTTCAGCACGTTATCAGCCTAAGACAGTCGATAACGCAAGATAAAACCGCTTCCTGTAGAGTCAGTTTCGACATTCGTGACGAATTCCGAATTGGTCGAAACAACCTTTCAATTGTTTTTCGACTAATTTACGATTACAGTTGTTTATGCATTTACAATCGGTAAATAAACATAGCTTTAACATCAAATGTCCATCCGAAGGCTGTAAGGAAGAAATTGCTTTTACTACTATGGCCGCTCATTCTTCTTTTTAGTAAGTTTTATTCTCGAAATGATTTTCCGAGTTTATAATTATAATAAACTAGATTACATGCACATAAAATAAAACTAATTTTAGCAATTTTTCGTTCATAATTGCCGACATTTTGAAGCCATTACCAGGTTCGTCCGTCATGGGACATTCTTAGATGATTTTTCTTTTTTTTTTTTGCGAAAATTCAAGGAAAAAGCAGACAGTTCATAGCATTTAAAGTAATCACTAGCGGTCATAGATATCCGTAACAAAAGAGATTTAGATCATGCTAACCTTTGATAAATTGAGCGTCCTTCTCTGAAAAGACGGCTATGTCATGCAATATCATGAATGGGAAGTACGTAAGCTGGCGCGAGGCCTGCTTTTAATTCGAGGGTCGGGGTAACCCCCATACCTCGGGCGTAGTCTCGACCAGCAAAGGCTGGTGGGTGGTGAGGATGGCCTGCAATATCAGAAGCTTTTCAGGTCTTTCCAGATAAGTACCACGACCTCATAGAAGACCGGCGTAAAGTGGATGTTTTATATTTCTGCGTTTCGTCTGGTGAGTGAGGTAGCCGGGGCCCACTTTATGAAAATGTGGCGACGCATCTGCAACCCTGCGGGTGTTGCAAATGTCCATGGGCGGCGGTTATCACTTAACACCAGGTGAACCGCCAGCTCGTTTGCGACTTTCTCACATAAAAAAGCTATTAAGTTAAAAAAAAGCCACTAAGTATAGGTAAGCTACATAGTATAGGTACTACCAGAAACGTAGTAGCTTCTGCCTAGTAGTAGGTAGCTTAAACTTAAACCTTACACTATTCGTATTGTCAAGATCATCGGTTTTGACATCTATGCACAGGATAATTACTGGCACTGTTACACGTAGAAAGTCAAACAATCTGCAACCACATTTGAGGCACCAAAAGCAGCAAAGATGAAAGATACGTTGTAATTGGTTTATTACTTTTTAAAGCAGTATCAGCATTAACATAAGTTCTGTGATGTGCGTGCTTGCTTTTTGCTTAAAATAAATTATCAACACAAGTAAAACACAGTAAGATATGTATGTAATTATCGTAATTGTATTCACCCATAGTAGACATATCATATATATGATGTCTGTGAAAGTGGTAAATATTGAGATGATGGCTGATAGAGAAAACTGGAAGGAAAGGATATTTTCTTGTATTCACGCGATTACACATTATAAATGAAACTAATTTTACGGATTTATCGCGTTTATTTTTAATTTAAGTTCCCGACGTTTCGAACCCTTTACAGCGTTCATGGTCAAGTCTGTCCCGTGACCATGAACGCTGAAAATTAGTTTCATTTAGGAAAGGATATGTTGTGCCGACCCCGTCTAGCAGGAGGGATGAAGAATGAGGCCAGAAAAAAAAATTGTTATGAATTTGATGTAATTAATAATTTTGTAAGAAATCTACATTTTTAATTGACGACTTCTGTAAAAACTTTTGCAATGATCTTTACCTGATCAATGATCGTAATGTCCATTAATAACTTAATATATGACCACCTACCGGCCTGGATGGACTTAAATGAATTTAGCGAACAAAACCGTTATTTAGTCCTGCAAACATCGGTACCCCTTTATTAAGTAACTTTATAAAAAAGCCGGTACGAACAATTTCGCGAGACGCATTCGCTGTAAGAACATATTAGTGTAGTCGACTCAACCACACATCCCTCACTATTGTACAAACTCGCTATGAACTCGACCTTTATTATGAACATTTCATCAAGAATATGACATAGGTAAACAAAGTGATTAATAACAAATAAATTTATAATTTTTTTTTAAATAAATTGATCAATATATTTTTTAATTAGAACAACGATTACGGACCCAAAGAAAATTCAGTGTTGGTATTATTTTTCATGTAGTTCACAACATTTCGTTACGAAATGTTTTCTTAATTTAAGCCGAATGTCAGCTTTTTTATGTGAAAAAATGACAAGCGAGCAGGGGTTCACCTAATTTTAAGTGATTACCGCCACCCATGGAGATGTACAACAACTGAGAGATTGCGGATGCTTTGATAACCTTTAAAAAAGTTTACCTCTCACCAAACGAAACCCCAAAGTATACTTCCAATGTATACTCGTTTTCTTTGAGGCCGTGGTACTTTCCTGGTGTCCACCCTGAAAAAATAATCACAGAGTGAGACTTGGGACGCATATAATTCTTCTTCTTCTACGTGGCAATAATCCCGGCTGTATTAATGGCACATAAAAAGCATTCGAAACAAATTTAAAAAGTTGGACACTAATTTTATAACAGGTATTCTTGGATGGTTCTTAAAAGCGACGAAGGCTTTTACATTGGATATATCCAATTATATTTCGTTTTCAGATTTCTCAAGTCCAAATATTATTAAATTAAATTTGTATCAGATTCAGTTGACTAAGTCACCACCTTTATGATTCATCCTTGAAAAGAGGATAGAAGTAGCACAACAATAATTATATTTAAAGAATGTCTGGTGTGAGCTTCGTTCGAGTTCGTAAGAAATGAATTAAGGAACCACCGTAGGGGACACACTCACACGTCGCCGCTGTCCAGACGCAGCCGCGTGGTCGTGTGCGCGTCTAGTCTGAAGCCAGTAGAACTGCATTCCACGTCCTCCCCGCGCTGCGATAGTAACACGTGGAGTCTTCAACTCGGCCCCTAAAAAGGCAACTGCGAGTCAAAACGTACGATTTTTAACGTTTAAACAGTCTTAGATGACAAACAATCCTCGGTCACACAACTCCGACAGAGTCTTGGCTTTGTGTGCACTTTAGGACTAAAGCCTAATCGGTCACACACCCCAGCTTCGTTTCTCCAAGAATTTTTTCATCGAAGTTGTGACTATGGACCGTTGGTGTTCCACTGTAATGGTAGCTGCTGGTGGTAAAAATTAGGTTACAGATAAACAACAAGTGTTGATTCGATTTTAATTCATCACGACAGTCGTGTTGAGCACAAACTTTTGTTAATGTGACCAAGTCGCAAACCATCTGGCGGTTCACTTGATATCGAGTGAATGCACTCACGTTTCAGGAAGGATTATCAAAAACGGGACGAACTTTACGACCGCTAATCAGTCTATACGGAAAAGAGTTTTTATTATGCTAATAAATCATGATTCAAGAGTGAATTTATTATGATTCAATATTACTATTTTGTTTCGATTCTTATAGTTATACTACGGTATCTACTGCTCCTGAATAGGCCGGCTGGTCATAGGAAAAACCACAGTCACACAGGTAGGCATAAACATACCATTGCGTTCGGCGGGTGAGTAACCCGGGCCCACCCTGTTAAAGGTCGACAACTTAACCGCAGCACCGTGAGCGATGCTGCGCTTACCGTCCATTGCATAGAGCATATGGACTCCAAAACGACTGGTCCCATTATTGGTGAAATATTCGCAGAATCTTTAGAACCTTTCTTACGGATCAACTGATTATTTTATGTATAATTTCCATATATCATATGCACATTCTGACGACTCGATTGGCCTAATGGGCTCTTGCGCCAGAGGTTGTGGTTTCGATCCCCGCTACTGGAAAAATATTATTTAGTATGTCTATCACTTATCTAGCGCCCATAGTACAAGCGTTGCTGAATTTGGGACTAGAGAGCGATGTGTAAAAATGAGTCCTGAATATTATTATAAACAAAATACCACAGAATCGCCAATTATGAGCTTTGGAACTATTCCCATGGTTAATGTAGCGTATATTCAAGACATAGTAAGGGCTAAGTACAGTGCAAGACGAGCGGGCAGCGCTTTACCTGGCCATGAGTGCAAAACAATAAACGCTCCGGGTTCAAACCAGTTCGGCCGACGAATGTCAAGGCTTGCGTCAATATCAAACGGATTCGTTCGCCGGCGGCTCACATTGAAGTTTGAAGTTACTTTCGTTATGACAATGTTTAGCTCTTTCTGCGAGATCGGACTACAGTTACCTATAGTTTAGAAAATATAACGATATCTTGAGATAACTATGACTTAAGGCGTAAAAAACTCAGTCCTATGACGATGAGTAGTTTACGCTCGGTTTTGAAACACTGATCATCGTAGTAAATTAGCTAATCAGCTGTCAAATGGTTTGTCATATGTTATTTGAGTTGCCAAAAAGATGGTTAAACTCTTTGGTTTGATCATTCTGATTATTAAGAAGATCATTCTGATCAATTCAAAGAGTTTAACCATCCTTTTGGCAACTCAAATGACATTTGGCAAGCCATTTGACAGCTGATTAGTTAATTTACTACGATGATCAGTGTTTCAGAAACCAGGCGGTAGTGTTGGGAGCAATAATAACCTAAAAACAAATAAAACTCAAAAATTTTGTAAAATTGTTTAATAGATATTTTGCGTTTCAGATGATGCACACACGTCTGAGATCTTCTAAAGCGCCGTAGACGATACACAACCTGTTTAGCCCTTTTTCTTGAAAACCTGATTTTAACGAAACACGGGGGCAAGACAATTGTTACAGTAGATACTTTATTATCCTACTATTGTTAGTGTAGACGTGTTAAAACTACATTTTTTAACCCACAAATTTATTGAAAGTAAACAGCGAGAGTACAATTTATTGATTACTGTCACTAACGTCCTATCTAATTTTTTCCTTTTTCTGTTATTAATAAAAACAGGTTGTAAAGTCAATATAGTCGAATGATCGTAACCAGATAAGAAGAATTTTACATTGAACATGCCGCGGCCCAAGGACTATATGGGTCCTTTAACCGTGGAAGATACAAACATCTAAACTTTAACTTAAATAGAGTGAGAATCTACAAAATAAGACTAAAAACTATAACTTAACTAAGGCTCTGAAGCAGCTAGAGGCAGAGGGCACAGTTTAGTAACTGGTCTCTTAAACACACGATCCTTAAATTGTAAGGAGACCACACGCGTTACACCGTCTGCTCCCGGGTGCTTCGCCACAATTCGCCCCAAAAGCTATTTACCTGGAGGTAAACGATCATCTTTCACTAAGACAACCGTACCAACATTTATGTCGGGGTGATTCTGGGACCATTTGTATCGATGTTGTAACATAGTAAGATACTCAGATTGCCAACGTCGCCACAGACTTTGTACCATACGTTGCACCTTTTGCCATCGGTTTAAATAGTCAGGTCGAGTATCCACGAAACTTTCTTCAGGGATAGTAACCGGTGCTTCGCCGATCAAAAAATGACCAGGAGTCAACGGGAGTTCATCAACGGCAGAACTAATCAATGTAAGAGGCCGAGAGTTGACACAAGCCTCGACCTGTGTTAGCAGAGTGCAAAACTCTTCGAATGTTAAGCAAGATTCGCCTATTACGGACTTAACTCCTGCCTCCCACAATCCTCCAAAGTGAGGGGCACCAGATTTGACATATGGTATCAATTTAGACAATAGTACTGCCCCACAAAGTTCAAGATGTGGCAATGAGATTTGTTTCACTGGAGCGACCTTTGTTTTGGCTGCGACCAGGCTTACTTTTATCTCATTGTCCGTGATGACTCTGATGTAAATAACCGCAGCGTAGGCGGCGCAAGAGGCGTCACGATAACGGTGCAATTCAATTTTTACATTATTTGCAATCCCTAACCAACGTGGAAGCTGAATGACAGGCCATTCAGCTTCCTTAGTGTTTAAAATTAGTCAGATAATTCTGCCATTCAGTTTTCAGGTCTTCAGGAAGTTGAGAGTCCCAGTCCAGGCCGGCTAGCCACATTTTCTGCATAAACATTTTTAACACAACCACGCAAGGTGCTAGCCAACCCAGAGGGTCAAAGGTTTTTGCTATCGCAGATAGCACACTTCGTTTTGTAACAATGTCGTTATCATGAGATAAGTTAACTACCAGTTCAAATATATCACTTTGTGGTTTCCAGGCTATGCCCAAAGCTTTCACCGAATCATCAGTTTTAATATTCACTGAACTTTTTAATGCTTTTTTCGAATCGGGAATCTCACTTAAAACCGTTTCACTATTAGACGACCACTTATGTAGAAGAAAACCGCCACGTTTAAACAGTTCAGTTAAGCGACGTTGAAGCCGTTGAGTGTCTTCTTCTGTAGATGAGCCCGTCATCAAATCGTCCATATAGAGATCAGTTTTTAGAAGTTCAGCTTCAGGAAACTCTCCACGTTCGTCCTCTGCAAGTTGATGAAGTGTCCTTATGGCAAGATATGGAGCACATGAACTGCCATATGTGACGGTAAGTAACCGATATTCTCTAATCGGGTCTTCCGATGACTCGCGCCAAAAGATTCTCTGGTAATCAGTGTCTTGCCTTGAGATAAGTATCTGTCTGTACATTTGTTGTATATCAGCTACTAGGCAGTACTTATGTTGTCTCCACCGTGTTACTAAATCTCGTATATCTTGTTGCAGCGGTGGGCCGATGAGTAGCTCATCGTTAAGTGAGTTTCCGTCTACAGGTTTAGCGCTTCCGTCAAAAACTACGCGCAACTTTGTAGTGAGGCTCGACGCACGAAGAATAGCATGATGTGGTAGGTAATAAGCTCTATTCTCCTTCTCTGTATCAGGGACGACCTCCATGTGACCGAGTGATTCATATTGCCTCATGAACTTGCAGTATTCTTTGTAAAACTCGGGTCTTCGCTTAAACTTATTCTCCATCTGATGTAAGCGCTTTAAAGCAAGTTGTCTGGAGTTGCCTAAATTTGGAGCGTCTTCGTCCTTGAAGGGTAGGCGAACCTCATATCGTCCGTCAGTGTAGCGAGTGTGAGTTTTCTTAAAATGCTCTTCACACTGCATCTCAGGTTTTGACAGAGGCTTCACGTTTGGTGAATATTCATTGATCTCCCAAAACTGACGTAGCAACTGATCAACTTCGACTTGTGTGTGCATAACAACTACATTGTGTGACTGATGGCTAGACTGCGCAACTTCGCCGCTTACCAGCCAGCCCAATCTTGAGTTCAAAGCGACCAGAGACTCATTTCGTTTTATTATTCCGTCAAGAATAATAGCACGTCGATAGATCCTGGCTTGTGAAAGTTTGGATCCGCAAGATTCGAAATCTCAGAAGAAGGCCAGGTATCTGATGGGAGCTCTTGTGATGGTAATCTCGAATTTATTCGTCTAAGGACGTACGCCTTAGCTGTGATCATGTGTGATGGATTTCTTATAGCATTAAAATTCAACGTAACTTGTGACTTAGTTGTCAGTGGTATAGATGATATGCCAGTAATTTTTCCGCTGATTGAAGTGCGCTCGAGATTAAGCAGTTGAGCTGCCGCTTCAGTAACAAAGTTTGATTGCGAGCATGGATCAATCAGTGCTCTCAAGACTATCGTATCGCCGTTCCTCGACTTAACTGCAATTCGTGCGGTTGCCAATATTACTTCCTCACTGTCGCTGTCAAACTCAGCCTTGTAAACGACGGTTGATGTGGTTTGGCTTGTTTCAGGTGTACTGGGTGTTGCTGCATTGCTTTCCGGCACTGATGTGATCTTGTTAGGGTTTGTGAAGTGCAACAGAGTGTGATGTCGTCGACTACATTTTCTACAGGTGGTGCTCTGCCTACACGCTTTAACGGAGTGACCCTTTACAAGGCAATTAAAACAAATGCCATTCTTCTTAATAAAATCCTGACGTTGAGGAACATCTAATGCGGCGAATTCTTTACAATGACAAATATAATGGTTTTGTGAGCAATAAGTGCATTCGCTGCTTACTTCTGTGACAAATGACTTCATATTTGTAGGTTTTTGGGTTGTATAATTTTTAACTAAGTCCCTTTTCTGCGGTTGGTCTTTTTTGTGGGTAACATTTACCATCTCCATAGAACGTGAACATGTCTTGAGATGATCCAAGTGACTGTTCCCATTGTTTGTGTGTTTCTAAGTCCAATTTGGATACAACTAAATGTACGACAATTGCATCCCAAGTGGAGGTATCCACGACGAGATTGTCAAGAGAATTCAAACATTTCTTCGTAGTATCTAAAATTTCCTTTAAGCTTTTAAAACATTCTGTGTTCATCTTCTTTTGATTTAAAAGGCGGCTAATTATTGTAGTGACAATCATACGTTTGTTATTGTATCTACTCTCAAGTGTGCTCCAAGCCTTATCGTAATTAGCCTCCGTGAGTGCAAAATGTTTTAGAAGTTGTTCAGCCTCTCCCGATAAACTCGTTTTTAAATAATGATGTTTTTCAATCGTTGTTAGATGCACGTTGTCATGCACGAGAGCCTTAAACAAATCTTTAAAACTTGTCCAGTCGTTATAATTATCAGCGAACTTTGGAATCGATAAAGGAGGTAATGTAGTTCTAATCGGGGTGGTCTCGCCATCATTTGTTGCTAAAAAGCTCTGCGTAGTATTATTTGATTGTGCTTGACCTTGACCTTTCGAAAATTCCAACAAATAATCCTTCAATAATCCCTTAAATTCTAGGTATATGTCTTCAGTTGTCTCGTATAGACTTTCGGCATTAAATTGTAATTGCTCCAGTTCAGTTTTCGTAACCGTTGTTTTAATCATCTCATATTGAGTTTGATACTTAGACCAATAACTTTCTAATGTTTCTAAGCGTGTTTGTAGATAGCCAAGTGTGTATCTTGATTTAGACGTCTTTTCAGTATTACTTTGTAGCTTAGAAATACGTTCCGATAACGTTGTTTGTGATTCACAAAGTTGAGCCATTGTTTGTTTATGACAATTCAAGTCTAATCTTACCAACTCGCAGTAATTAGCACTTAGCCTTTTTTACTATTGTTTTTAGCACTTATTACACTTTCACAATCCGGCTCGAAGGACCAAACATGTTAAAACTACTTTTTTTAACCCACAAATTTATTGAAAGTAAACAGCGAGAGTACAATTTATTGATTACTGTCACTAACGTCCTATCTAATTTTTTCCTTTTTCTGTTATTAATAAAAACAGGTTGTAAAGTCAATATAGTCGAATGATCGTAACCAGATAAGAAGAATTTTACATTGAACAAGACGACACTATTGTTTGGCAGCGTAGTAGCATTATTAGTAGAATATATCTGTACAAATATATTATATAACTCATTGTGTTGTAAGTATTAAGGCAGGTCACCTAAAAAACCCAGCAAATATGATCTTACGTAACGGCTACACAACAAAATTGCGGTCGTAGTTCTTCAGTCTTATGTAAGTAGAGCCACGCATATATGACAATTTTGTCTTAAAAAAAACAAACAAAAAACCTTTGAAAGATAGATATAGAAATGATGCTAAATTGCAATTTGGGGTAAGTATTTATTTATTTAACAACCAATAATAAGTTGAAATGTAGTGTTTAATTAAACAAATAATGCAAAAGGATAATGAAATTTTTATGTTCTAATTTTGATACAAATGATTTTATCTACAATTAAAGTGTCCACTGTTTATAAAATGCTTAGGTAATATATAATAATATGTTTTCCAATGTTGATACCGTTTAAGTTGAATGTTCATGCCGCATTATCGTAATTAATATCTCTTGTTAGTACACTATGATACGCATTATGATAACCGAAATACAAAAAAAATTTTTTTTTACTGTTATGTTTTGAAAATAAAATAAAGAAATTTTGTGCGGTTCTGTTCCATAAACCTCACTCAAAATGTTACACACGGTACAACAAACAATTTTAAAGCAAATTTAAAACGTTTAAACTATTAAGATATAACTATTAAGATTCCGGCGAAAGGTAACAAAAATGTGTATCAGTAATAAGATGGCATAGTAACAGGGGACAAATTACAACACATTACGATATTACTCGCATCGGTGATCTGCAATTACTTCTTAAACGCTGCGACGTCCGTCTTAAAGCTGACCACAATTTGACCTGTGCCTCACGCACACACTGACACTCGCCAGATCCACGTGTGCGTAGCGCACACGTCGCGGCGGTGTTCTTTTCTCGTGGAGCTATGCAGCTGAGCGTTTGATATGTAAATTGGTAATAATAGCGGGAAGCGAAACGGGCCGCCATTTTATATTGTTGTATTTGTATTCAACAGATTTCTTTTTTGACAAGCTCCTTTGAGTTAGACAGTTCTTTTTTATTTAGCCACAGATTATGCTTTATTTTTTTATTTATATTGATGTAGTTAAGAATATTTAAATATCATTATTACGCTTTCAGTGTAACAATTTAAAATATAACGCAGACATTAATATTTACAGACACGATGTGAACTTTTATGACCCAAAGTACAGATGCCACAGCAAGGATAGGATGTATTAAATTTAAAAAAGTTCATCAAAGGCCTAAGTACCGTAACGTCAAAATAATATCGTTAACTAACAGAGTCATGAATCAAAGCTACGGCTGTTAATTAAAAAATCATAAGTAGTCGGCCATTTTTACTCGACGGCTCTCGAAATGAAAGGTGCTGATGACGCGGACACAACTGGTATCGCCCCCGGGTCTCGCCTGACGGACAAGCGCCCTAACAATCTATTGAAGCCCCGAATTCCAACATCAACAAAGAATACTCAATTAAGCGCCTTCGCGGGCCGCCTTCCCGCCTTTTTGCCTAATCTGTGCCCAGTTATTTCGGGTACACCCACGCTAGAGGGAGATAGGCGGTAGTTTTTGAAAGGCGAAAGGGAGGAGGCAATAGGACCCGTTAGGAAAGTAGAGACGACTACTACGGTTACGCGCGACTAGTGATGTCGAATGGCCAATCCAATAAAACTGCATATCGACTTCATCGCCGTAACCATCTTACCATTTACATTCTTTATAACACAAATCAACTGTGGTAGGGCCGCCGTAGTCTTCGCTGTTGTAAAAATGGGAAGGTCCATCCGGTGAAGTTCCATTAGATCACTGAAGATCGGCTTGAAGTGTAAAACCCATACTTCTGCGTTTCATCTGATGAGTGAGTTAACGGGGGCCCACTTTGTTAAAGACATACACAAAAAAATTTTTTTCAAAATCTGTTCAACATACATATATTTATGAGTATCTTATTAGTGATGGAAAAAAATGTACGCAGATCACGGTCGTTTTGAAATGAATTTTTTTTAATTCCAAAACAATACTTTTTGCGGTTTAATTACTTAAATAAAGAATTTGGAATACAATAATTATAACTGGGTATGAAATAAGAAGCCTCATTGCTTTCATACTGCAGAGTAGGTACTGTCGCTTGCTGACGAAGTATTAAAGAGTCGACATCGGCAGTAAGACGCAAGGGACTAATTGAACAATTATACAGTACTCGCAAGGAGGCCATAGTTCAAGCATCTCCGTTGCTTTTGATGAATAACATTGAAGTGTAATTTAGTTGTCATCATGCTACTTCTAACTGTTGCAAATGTACCCCTGATAATAAAAAACAATAAACGAAACACGATAATATCGAAGGTTAAAAGTAATTAATGTTAAGTTATTATAATAAGGATAAAATATTAAGACATTATGGAAATACTCGCCTTGTCACTAGCTTTTAAGCTGTTTTATTGGGCACCGGTTAAACTATGACAACTTTATGGCAGTTTTTTTTATATGAGAAAGTGGTAAGGGTGCTAGCGTTTCAGCTAATGTGAAGTGATGACCGCCGCCGATAGACATTTGCAACAGCAATAGGGTTTCAAATGCGTTGACACCTCATAATAAAGTGGGCCCCGACTACCTCACTCACGAGACGAAACGCAGAAGTATAACACTTTCGTCGTGGTACTTACCCAGACGGACATGCCCATTCGTGCAACAGTCGAAACTGCAGTGCGGGAAAATACCACAGTTAAACACTTAACTTGGACACTCATAAGGTACATTGTTAGTTTACTTCGATTCTGTTTATTTGTTTGATATTAAATCAATGTAGTTAATAAAACGAAGAGACGAATTAATATTTGTAGAGTATGTAAATTTGAATTTCGTCAGACATTCCTGAATTAGGGTACGTTGTTAATAATCGTTCGGAACACAGGCATATCCAACAAAATTTCATAGTCTTATCAGTCCAAGTTTATGAGTAGAGACGAGGTACATGAAAACTTTCTTTATTTAAACCGAAGGCCGGTTTCAATATTCTATCTACAGATATATTTGATACTAGTTCTTTACATTAGCTCCATAATACTTAATGTTTACGGTTGAATATTGAATCCAGTCGATAGTTACTCCAAACTCTCGATCGTGTATCAAACACTATTGGTATTACCGTGCACAAAAATGTAACCAATTACAAGGCTTATTACAACCTGTCGCCATCCAACGTTTATGGACGAGGCCAAATATCACACAAGACACAAGCCTTTATAAGTTGACGTTGACAAAGCTGAATTGTATTGAGTAATACGACACGGTTTTCTTAATTAATACTTCATAATCGAGACGTTGAAGGAGCTTGTAACACAATATGGCCTATAAATGAATCATTTACAACCGTTGCATTCCACTGTTGTGTGTTGTGTTTTCATTATAACCCAACAATGTCAACATACTATCGGTTATATTATGAGGGACAACGAACAAAACATCTCATAAACATCTCAATTTTATAATAATAAAAAAACTCTTTTGATAGAAAAGATAGATGTCGTAGATTTTTTTTTAAATAATGTAGCGAAGTAGGATTTTAGCAAATTAACTTTTATTTATATTAATATTTAATTTACAAGACATCAATTTGTAATAAAAATATTTAATAATAGATGTTCTTTCAATCCCTAACTTAATATAAAATATAAAGTTATTATTCTGAATCGGAAATCACGAATTCCGTCGACCCGTTAACATCACTAGCGTTGAGAAGCGAAGCGAGTCGGATTAGGCGAGTTTTTACCTGAATGTTATTGGTCACTGTGACTCACGGGCGATATTCATCATGAGTTGTAGTGGTACAGCCGTCCAATCTGGTATCGGAAAACTTAAAATAACGGGCAATTATAACCTTTACAGCAAGGTTTTAAAGGCGAAAGCGGCGTGCAGGAAACCGCTGTAGCGGCCTCGACTGACGGGCGGTCTGTACCCTTTTTCTCACACTGTCTACGGGACGCAGGGTGTGTTTTTTGGTCGCTTTGGCCGAGGTGTGAGACGGCCCTGAAAGTTTGTTTTATATGCGATAGACGGAAATTAATTGCATTCCTTACCGGCGGCGGCTTTTGTAGTCGAAGCGGCTGCACGGAGCGCTGTCTTCGTGTTCTTAGCTATATAAATACAAGGTATAAACGGAATAACTATTTTTCTACTAACGAAAAACAAAACCCACTTGAAATATTATTCTTTCATTATTTTATAATTGATTCGCAGGAGTTCCCTAAGTATCTCCTGAGTCCAATATCCAATACCAGTGATATTAACATGGGACCACATGGTAAGCACCAGCTTTCAAATAAAAAACAATCATCAACATTGGTTCACACACTCGAAAGTTCTGAGGTAAAAAACATAAAAAAAATACAGTCGAATTGAGAACGTCCACCTTTCGAAGTCGGTTGAAAAGTAGACAAAATTACTGCCGGAGAAATTGCTCGCTGATTAGTGGTCGATTATTTTCTACATATTCAATGTATTTATTTTATTTTATTATTTTCTACATGTTCAATCTTAAGTGCAAAGATTAGCACTATATACAATTTAAATTTCTAGCAATTTATCAAATCAAAACAAATAATTGTTATTTGTATTTACTTACTATTAATAATTGCCATATTAATACTAACATAGCCGAAGTTTAGATTACTACTACTATTTATTTAAAAAAAGTTATTGTAATACTTGTTTTAAAAAACTATTCCGAATATTTACAAAAAAAATATGTTGCACCATCAACAATGTTTAATTTTTTAGATAATAAGAGAAACAGCATAGGAATGAAACTATTTTCTCAGATAGTAATCGTACACGTCTCCTCAAGAATGACCTTTGACATCGTTCGTTTACCGTTTAAGCCTCGTGCATTGGATATGGATGCCATTGTACTTTATGTCCACTTAGGAGCTTTTGTTAACATCTTCGGGCCGATGTAGGGTCACCAAAAAAGTGATATTTTTTCTATGTAAGACAAGACAAGAGAGCAATTATGTGACGCTAAGTCGTCTATGGTCATCCACAACAATTGCGGAATTCCCTTTGTAATATTCCCCACTTACCTCACTCTATAGATTAAACGCCAAAGTATAACACTTACACTTCAAGCTGGTCTTCTGCGAGTTCGTGGTGGTCGTGGTGGTCGTGGTGCCCAGGCCGAACCAAGAAGTTCCTAAACTATGTGTTTTTACTTAAGTACGTCAAGCAAGACACCAACACTATTAGGTTCAACTATTTTTTTCCAAACCCGTTTAATACAATATTTGTAACGCTCAAAACAATATTAACCTAGAGGTTTTTATCCGACAAAGAATAGGTGTTTCGCGATGCTCAGTGACTACAACTCTGTTCATGGACAATATGCCATCCATGATGACGTTTAAATACCAATGCTTCACGCAAGTCTTCTATAAAGCCGTACTACTCCCCTAGAAGAGCCAAACTATCCACGAACAGAGAACACTACTCACCGACATAGCTGGCTCTACCAGAAGGAAAATAATAATAAATAATAATAAAATATAAATATCTTTTAACCTTTTAAGTCTAATATATTATTAGACGTTTCGTCTATCAATTAACATATCAACAACAAATTTAGTTATTATTTTTTTCTACCCGAACTATTGCCGTTCATTATATTCTGCCAGTTTTTAAATAAAGTGACTTTTCAGTCATAGTTTCTATATAACGAGCTGTAGCATTTTTTTATGTGAAAACACAAAACAGTTGACAAGCGAGCAGGCAGTACACGTGATGTTAAGTGAATACCGCCGCCCATGGACATCTGCTACACCCGAGGGTTACAGATGCGTTGACAACCTTTTGAAATTGGGCTCCGGCTACCGCTCACCAAACGAAACGCGAAAGTATTTGTCATACTTCCACTTTACGCCGGTCTTCTGTGAGGTCGTGGTACTTACCCGGACGAGCCTGCCCTGCCTGGACCAGCATGTATTATTAATCTATAAATGTCTTGTTAATAAATCAATTTTATATACCTGCCATGACCCTTAGTTTCACTTAAATAAAAGTAGTCACTAAAATAGGTAAGGCAAAGACGTATAAATAATGCTCCATGACTTATTTCAAGTTAATAAAATAAAAATAAAAAATAAAAAAAATAAAATAAAAGAAAAGTGAAATAAAAATGTTTTTGTTTGTAACCTTGAATCATTGTCTATAAACCTCGAATCTTCGTTAAAATTGGCGGATTAGAACTTTAATATTTTTAAATATCAATTGGCGCAGTTGCCAAGGAGTTGGCTTCGAGCTCGGGGGTCGTGGGTTCGAATCCCAGATGAGACAACAATTTGTGTGACCCACAGATAGTTTTTTCGCACCTGGGTGTTTGTCCACGGGAAGTTTATGTATGTAAAACGTCCTTACAACACAGGATAATATAATCCCGAAGTAAGGTCAACGATTTTGAAAAATAAACTAAAAAAAAAACAAAAAGAAAAGAAAAAGTTCTAACCATCTATCCAACCTTCTTGGATTTGTTTAAAATTAAACATAAGTCATCGCGAAATATTATTCGCTAT